TATACACACACAAATTATAGATCATATTCTTTATCAATATTTCATACGAAATACCAGATTTTTAAATTTTAAGTTTCTCAAACTTTTGTTGAGAGTGTCTAAGATCCAAGAGTTGTTCAGATCCGATCCACTTCAAATATCCCACAGACAGCCAGCCAGCAGAAGATATGAATCGGTATTCTTGAGCATGCCAATAAAGCCAATAAAGCACTCTTTGCTAAGTAAATCAAATTCCCACAACTCTTAAACGATGTCCCTTACTTGAGAGTCAATGTTAAATCCGTTAGAGGATTGACTTATGTCTCTGGTAGAAAATAATTTATTGCATCTGACCAAGAAAAAGTCCGGGGCAGGAATCCTTGCGCAGGGTGTGAGTGACCGTAGCACATTTTTGAGGGTTCACTGAGGTATTCCACCTACAAGCCCAGTTTTCGAAGCGCTTCAGATACTGCTGCAGGATATCCGTTGCTTCGTACACGCGATTATTCTTGGCAAGGATTGACGTGTCATCAGCAAACGTAGCCACCAGGAGATCCTGCGGAGGGCCATTTCACTTGCCGTGGGCATATCATGCGTGAAGAAGCTGTCTAGTGTGGGACCCAAAACGCTACCTTGTGGAACGCCCGCTCTTATGCGTTTGGTATGAGAGGCTATGCCATCCTGTACCACTCGAAATGTCCTCTCGTTCAGGAAGCTCGCAATGAAGTTAAAGAGCTGCGGAATTAATTTGCCCTTTATCCGTCCAAAATAAAGTTTGTGACCCGATGGAGTTGCTCAGGGGTACCGTGTTTGAGTCTTAACCCAAACTGGAACTTCGGGATTAAGCGTTTTATTTCCGGGGTATCCAGGATGATGCACGTTTCCAGAATCTAGCTAAAGGCAGGCAGGAGGCTGATGGGGCGATGGGATTCCAGTTGATTAGGGGGCTTTCCGCTCTGGTGCAACATGATGATATGTGCCTTCTTCCAAACCACTGAAAAGTAACCTAGCCGAAGAGCTGCATTAAAAATGGCGACGGGAAAAAGCACAGCCTTGTATGGCAATAGCTTAATTGTCTGGTTGTCCAACTGATCTTCCCCAGGGTCTTTGTTGCTTTTTAAGCTCTTTATCTCCTGCTTCACTTCTTGGAAGTTGATTGGTGATACAGGGAGTGACATTTGGAGCGTCGCCTCTAGGATTTGCGCGACTCGCTGTATCCTTCCATGCGATGGGGTGTCAAACGGCTTGAAGCGCTCCTCCAGGTTGCAGGCGAAGGCTTCGGCTCTGTCCATTGGTGATCTGGCCCAGGTGCCATCGGGATGTCGAACGGGGAACTTTGGCGCAGCTTGCCGCTTTTATCGACTGGTAAGTTTCCACAGCGCGAATGTGGAGCTCTCGTCTGCCGCTGCTTGCTCTAGCATGGTGTCTGTGGCTTTTCTTCTCAGTAAAGTCAACTCCTTGCTGACCCTGTTGGCGATACGGTGATAGATCCTGTCGAGTCTTGGGTACGGACGTACTACCTCCTCAGTCGCTTTTACAAAGAAAGAAGGCCTTCAACGATGAGGGGAGCGTCCTTGTAAATTGGCTTGTAGGCGTAGAGTACATTTGTGATGGCGCAGCGTTGGCAGCCGCGGTATCTTGATACAGCAGGGTTTGAACTGCAACGTCGGCATTTTCGGATGTCAAGATCGGCATGTTAAGATCTATCATGCCATTCAGTTTTGAAGCGTTGTATGTCCGACTGAAGGGTGACAAGCTTCGCTATTTTTGGGGTCCTCTGAATACACGTAGAGATCGTTGCAAGGAGTGTTAGATGGTCGGATGACAGCTCATACTCTTCGCAAACTGATATTACGCTGTTGGGGAAACCCTTGTATATAGATAAGTCAATGCACGAAGGGGTACTTTGCCTGTTGTACGGGAAGTGGGTAGGTCTTCCAGTGGCCAAGACCTGGGCTGAGCAGCTGGTGTGCGCTTCATGCAGCGCAATGCCTCTGTTGATAGCTCTGTAGCTTCCCCACAGCCTGTGTTTGGCATTGAAAGCGCCTCCAACGATGAATTTATGACCAAGCTGATCAAGGAGAGAATCGAATCCAGCTCGGCTCCAGGATAGATTTGGTGGTAGATACACCGCAGCTACGGATATTTCACCCAAAGGAGTCCCCACCATAATAGCAGCCATCTGTGTGGTGCTGGAGGTCATCTGATGTAGTCCAAGTCCTGCTTGACAAGCACCGCAGCACCTCCTCTGGCTGCTGGGTGATCCGCACGGTAGCAAACATATCCCTCCATGGCGAAGTACAGGCCAGCTTGTAGGTGCGTTTCTGAGACAAACATGATGTCTATTTCACGTTTTCTCAGAAATAGTTTAAGCTCGTTTGCGTTTTGTATGATGCTGCGAGCGTTCCACGATCCGAGGCGCATCTGGGCAGCCATTATTTGCGGTGAGTGGGAAGACCGAGCTGTGGAGGACCTTGCGCGTCCTTCAGCTCCTTGATGCTGACTAGGATAGTTGCGACCGCGGCATTAAGTGCTGCGATCGACTGCTGGAGTCCTTTGGGGCTGCATTGTTGTAGCGGTGGGCTGGTTGGTGCACACGGGGGGTTGGCACGCTTGTGCATGTTGCTGGTAAGTGTTGCATACAACAGACCTTGTTGCACAATTCGGGAGGGTACGAACTGCGAGTTGATGCGCCGTGCAGGTCACAGTTTGAGCATCGCAGGTCTGCCTCCGTTTTGGCCTAGCATTGCTCCGAGTTCGTCCAATGGGGTTGGCCGCACCTACCGCATTTGGGCTGTTTAAGGCAATAGTTTTTAGTATGGTCGAACTCATAGCAGCGATAACATTGCCTGATGCTTTTGTTCTTCCTCGGGAGCTCAACTTGGACCCGTTGACGGCCAATCTTGCTAACGCGAAGCGCGTCCTTATTTTTAGGAGCCTGCCTTCGGTCTACATACCAGTAGTTGCGACTTGGCGAATCGTTTGTGGGGCAGCATCGGCGTCATTTGTGGGGAGCCTGGTCCCCGGGTTGTATAGGTTTGTCACAACGTGGCCGTGTGTTGCAAAGGCACTTTCGATTTGGCTCCTGGGAGTTCCTTCATATCAAATCTATCAATAAACCGCAATAAAGTACTCCAATCTTATGTGATTTTTCTACTACCATAATAATAATAAACATAATTCATACAGCAGCGACATCGGAAAAAAAAGATACATGGCATTGCCAATGAAGGAGTTGGTTCAACAATTAAATACATCAAACAGCGCTTCGTGTGGCCTTGTATGCATAAGGATATAGCTCACTTCGGCAAACACTGCATCCCTTACCAAAAATCTCAAGTCACGCGCCACGTTCATTCACCACTCCAACAATAAACTCTGCCTTCACGCAGACTTGAACACATTAATGCAGACCTTATTGGACCGTTGCCTCAATCTGGTCAATTTAGATATTGTCTCACGATCATCGATCGCTATACCAGACGGCTAGTTGCAGTCGCCATCGAAGATATCCAAGCTGAAACAGTAGCCACAGTACTCATCAACACATGGATTTCTCGCTTTGGAGTTCCAGCACGCATTACCACGGACCAAAGCAGAATCCAGGTTATTTAACGCGCTATCGCGCCTTCTCGTCATTGACCATTTACGAACAACCGCCTCAGGTTTTTTTTAAATAAATTAAAATCATCCAAATTGAAGAAAGAATTAAAGATAAAAATGGCAGTCGAATAATTAATATTAAATGATCATAATTTTATATTAATTTAATTATTATTATCATTATTATTCAATTTATTTATTATTAATTATAAGAGACCGCTATTATTTATAGGTTTCGGCCACGCGCAGGCGCCAACGACATGCAATGATTAATTAATCATAATCTTCATTTATGATAAACTTAAATTAATTTATTCGTCCTAGTTTTTAGTGTCGACGAGCCGTTTTCGCGTCTGCCCTACAAAGAAAAATTATTATAAAAATTGTGGTATATGTTAAGTGTTAACTTATTAAATGTCTTTGTGTAAGTAAAAGTGAAATGTTCGAGTAAGAAAAATTTTTTTGCATACAATTTTAATAAGAAAACATTTTTTTAATTTACAGTTCATATCTGCCAGAACATAGGCTGTGGTCCGGGAAGGTGGCTAAAAAGATGCCACATGCAATCGTTGTCCAGCCTGTGTTTTAGCTACAATTCTATGTCATACCCAGGAGACAATCAGAGAAAAATGTAGGAAAACGGAAATTAAAAGTCCATATTTTACTTTAGTAGAAAAGACTTACCGTAAGCAGCCGCCTAAAACCAAACTTATCTCACCCATTCTTGTTATGTGCAAGTTCATATCTGTAAAAATACAAAAGATAAAAATCATTAGTAAGCCTTAAAAGTAGTCGAAATAGTTAGGTATATTGAATTTGGTGATGCCAAGGGGGAAAAGGAGAAACATACTTTGAACAGAAGGTTTAGGAGCGGGATAGAATACATAAGAGGTAGAGGGTCGGAATTTCTGGCTCCGATAACGCGCTCCCAATCCCAAAGAATCCAAGCCCGATATCTATCCGAACTGGATAGCAGCTCACACTCGGAGGCCATGGATAACTCCGTGGAACCGCGGGATGCCAACAGAGATTGTGTCATGGGCGACACCGAGGGACAGTCCACGTCCCAGCTCAAGAGCAACAGGGAGTGGCCACGATCCCCAGCGAAATATCATCGGCTATAAATTTTGCGGTGTTCCAGGCAAAAGATACATACCGCAAAACCATGGCCTCGGAATTCGTATCCTAACAGGCGCAGACGAAGGAGGACATGCTTCAATTCATAAAGCAGATAAGCGACAGCCTGGCGGAGATGCGAGCTGGCACTGGAACACTACAATGTGAGGGATTGGCAGCTCAGGAATCCCGTCGTAGCAGCAACGATAGTCAACCGTCTGCACATCCGGTTAGGGCGATCGACCATCGATTGCTGGAAGCCGCTCAGAGGAGCCAAGCAAATCCTGTGTGCTGGAAAGACGGCGTTCCTCACGAGTTCCGAAGCGCCGGAGGACAGGATTGTTTCATCCGAACTTCTGCCCATGAGCCGAAGACTGAAGTGGTGCATATTCGCAGATGGGGTCTGGTGTTCGATGGCGGAACAAGAAGTATGCCGGTATCGGAATTCATCTTTCGGCTGGAGCATATGCAACTGACTTACCAGGTTCCGTGGAGAGAAGTGTTGCGCGATTTCCATGTCCTAATGGAGGGTCAGGCGAAGGAGTGGTATTGGATGCATCTTCTTACATCCAGGATTCCTGATTGGCCAAATTTGAGGTCCGCATTACAACAACAGTTCCAGACCAAGCGTTTCAAATTTTGAGCTGGAGCAAGAATTGCGAGAAAGGAAACAAAATCCAGGCGAGACAATCGATGAGTACATCCAGGCGATGGTAGGTCTGCGCTCTCGATTGGCAACGCCGTTTTCCGATCATGACCTATTAAAGGTTATAAAAATGAACATAAGGGATGCTGTTTCCAGAGTTATATACCCCATTTACATTACCAACATGGAGAGGGTGCGCGAAGAATGCCATGAAGCAGAGCGCCTGCTGAAAACTCGTTGGAAGCCAGTCAATACGACATATGATCAGGCACGGCAAATCCGAAGCAGACCACAAGTTCACGAGGTATATGCTTCGGATGAAGAACCAGAAGGCGAAGCGCAGCAAGAGGAGCGAGTGGAGGCTTTGTATAGCGATAAGCTCACGTGTTGGAAGTGTGCCAGAGGACACACATTTTGGGAGTGCGAATCCAAGACCGGAAACATTTTTTGCTATAAATGTGGTCTAACAGGTGTTGTACTTCCCAAATGTCCGAAGTGTCAGCCGGAAAACAACCAGAAGAGTCTCTAGCAAGCGGAGGAGTCGCGCTCCATGCCGTCAACTCACGGAAACTAAATACCTCCTATAATGCGGTATTAGAGACAACAGATAGCAATGGAGAAAAATTTAATGTTAAATATAATATATTAAAAATTAACAATAATCAAAATAATTACGTTAGATGGTCAGAACGGAAGCCACTTGAAGTGAGAAAAGCAGAATATACAAAAGCTCGAGCGCGTATTTTCGAAGCGGCCGCTGAGAACACACCCAGGGTAAAACGAGCGCGCTCTCGTTACGAACAGCGGCAGGAGCGTAAAATGGTATGCGCTGCGATTCAATCGGCAGTCAAAGGCGACGATTGGGCATTCGCAACGGTCAAGCTGGGACAGCGAGAGATCGCTGGGCTGCTAGATACGGGTGCATCCGTCAGTCTGCTGGGAGGTTGCCTGCAATTGATATAAGAACTGGAATTAGAAATTCACCGGGTGCGATCGACAGTCCAATCAGCTGGAGGCACGCAACATCACATTCTCGGTCATGTCTATGCCAAAATATCGTACAACGGCCAGACTCACCAATTAGAGCTGCATCTATGCCCATTTCTCAAGCAGTCACTGTATCTCGGAGTGGACTTTTGGCGAAAATTCGGATTGGCGCCGGAAATTTCAGTAATCGAGGAGCTGTGGTATGTCGACTCGGAGTTTACGACCAAAGGCAAACCGATAGTAGCCCATGAACTGAATAAGGAGCAACAACATATTCTGCTGAAAGAGGCAAGAGAAGGTTTCATGGATTACAAATCTCGAGGATTGGGGCATACCAACATAGAAAAGCATACCATTTAACTAGTGGATGACGCAGTGCCAGTCAAGGAGCGATTCTACCCAGTATCTCCAGCAGTGCAACAGCTATTGTTTGCTGAAGTGGACGAAATGCTCAGACTGGGAGTCATCGATCCGAGCGAGAGTCCATGGAACAATCGAATGACGCTTGTCAGGAAGCCTGGGAAGAATAGACTGTGTCTGGATGCGCGAAAGTTGAATAATCTGGCCATTAAAGACGCTTACCCGTTGCAGAGCATCGAGTCCATATTTTGCAGAGTTGACGACACTATTTTCATAAGTAGGGTGGATTTGAAGCATGCATTTTGGCAGATAGCGCTGGACCCCAAAAGCCGCGAATTCAGCGCTTGCGCAAACGTGTATTCACCTACTTGGATGACTTGCTAATCATCTCGAGGTCGTTCGATGAGCACTGCGAACTGCTGAAGGAAGTAAGCGACTGCCTGGGAAAAGCGAATTTGACCATTGGTTTACTAAAATCCAAATTCTGTTTTAAATACCTGCGTTATTTGGGGTACATCATCGGAGACGGTGCATTGCGCACTGACCCAAAGAAGGTGGAAGCAATACTGCAGATCGTTCTTCCAAAGACCACCAGGCAACTACGAAGCTTTTTGGGCACAACGGGATGGTACAGGAGATTCATACGAGACTTTTCTGAACTGACTGCACCACTAACAGACTGCTTGAAGGCGAACGCTAAGCTGGTTTTGACCGCAGAAGCGATAAAGGCTTTCCATGAGCTCAAGAAGGCACTCACATGTGCGCCCGTACTGGCACATCCTGATTTCCGTAAGTACTTTTATATACAGTGCGACGCAAGCCAATTTGGAATAGGAGCGGTGCTTTTTCTGGGGGACGACACTGCAGGGGATAGGCCGATCGCTTTCTTTTAACAGAAAAGGAATGCCTGGCCGCCGTCAAAGCTGTCGAACGCTTCCGCCCATACGTGGAACTGATGCCGTTCACCGTTATTACCGACCATGCCAGTCTGCAGTGGCTTACGACATTGAAAGATCTTAGTGGGAGACTCGCTCGGTGGTCACTGGCTCTTCAAGCATTCGATTTCAACATCGAGCACCGCAAGGGCAAAGACAATATCGTGGCAGATAGTTTGAAGTAGAGGAAGCGGATGTTTTTGATTTTGTACCCACCGAGTTTGAGAGCGAGGAGTATTTGGGAAGGCTGAGGGTTGTCGAGGAGCAGACGTGCAATTGCAAAGACTCTGGCCAGAGTCAAGCAATTCTACTACTGGCCCCGTATGTCAATACAAGTCCGAGAGTACGTCACAAACTGCGAAATCTGCAAAGTGACAAAAACACGACTCATACTACTCGTCCCCCCATGGGCAAGGAAGTTAACACCGAAAAGCTATGCAAAAGCTATACATGGACTTTTTGGGAAAATATCCACGTTCGCGACATGGCAACTCGCACCTTTTTATAGACCTGGATCATTTTTCCAAATTCGTCTGGTTGAAAGCAATACCTAAGGCGGCAACTACGGCAGTGGTGAAGTTTTTACGTGATCACCTATTCACGCAGTTTGGGGTGCCTGAAATTATTCATACGGACAATGGCAGACAATTCACGTCTAATGAGTTTGCCGCGTTCACGAGTAAATATGGAATCACTCACCAGAAAACCGGAAACTATGCGCCACAAGCGAACACGTCCGAGCGGGTGAACCAGTCTGTACTAGCGGCAATACGGATCCATGTCGGCGACGATCATGCGCGATGGGACGAACAACTACCCGAAATAGCGGCAGCACTACGCAGCGCGATACACAACAGCACCGGAACGTCGCCCTACTTTGCCATGTTCGGACAGGACATGTTCACGAACGGCGCCGAAAACAAATTGGCACGCAGGTTGAAAGCCGTAAGCGACACGGGGGTGCAGAATTTGGCCCGTGTCGATAAGCACCAGATTTATAGGGCCAGGATGCATGACACTATGCACGCAGTCTATGAAAAAGCGACCAGAAGTTACAACTTGAAGTCCCGAGAAATAACATACGCACCTGGACAGGAGATATACAAGCGTAACTTCATCCTGAGTGACTTCGCAAAAGGCCGCAACGCCAAGTTCTGCCACAAGTACGCCAAGTGCAGAGTCGTTAGGGCGGTCGGATCCAGTATATACGAACTTGAGACGCTACAAGGAGTGCCGTTGGGGATATTTCACGCCAAGGACCTGAAACAGTAGGCATAAGTTTGTGCCCGGCTAAAGCTCTTAAAATGTATACGCACCTCGAAATATGCGACGCAGCCGAATCTCAGGGTGTGGGCGATGGCCTACGATGGCGCCAGCGAAACACGGAAACAGCCGTAGCAATAAAGCCCGATTTCCACTCCTGTGTAAAGGGCAAGCATCCAAACCGAAGTGTGGATGCTTGCAGGCAGCAATACGATTAAAAAAAAATATATATTTTTATATAAAAATACCACACCAAACAATATGCTGTTTTTCGATTGCCGGCTGAAGAAAGGTTATCGATAGATTCGAGGGGTACGCAATTATCGGAGCCACCAGTTCCTTACCTTGACTCTTGACATTTTTGAAAGGGAGAGCGGTTTTTGTTGTTGGGAGCAAATAAAGTAAGAAAAGAAAAGATCCAGAGTCAAGTGCAAGCCGGCCGCGTGCGAAAAGCGAATTTTCGATCATTTGAAAAATGTAAATTAAATTGAAGTGAACCAAAAGAATACAAAAAAAATATATATATGTTCAATTAAATTTATTAGTGTCGCAAAAACTGAAGTCCCACAATACGGGAGGTGCCGCAGGCGAGGATCAGGTCACCAGAGGAGCGGATTGGCCACCACCTCTGGGTGGCCTCAGGTTTCTTTTATATAGATTTAAATCATCCAAATTGAAGAAAGAATTAAAGATAAAAATGGCAGTCGAATAATTAATATTAAATAATCACAATTTTATACTAATTTAATTATTATTATCATAATTATTTTATTTATTTATTATTAATTATAAGAAAGCGCTATTATTTATAGGTAGCGGCCACGCGCAGGCGGCCACGACATGCAATGATTAATTAATCATAATCTTCATTTATGATAAACTTAAATTAATTTATTCGTCCTAGTTTTTAGTGTCGACGAGCCGTTTTCGCGTCTGCCCTACAAAGAAGAATTATTATAAAAATTGTGGTATATGTTAAGTGTTAACTTATTAAATGTCTTTGTGTAAGTAAAAGTGAAATGTTCGAGTAAGAAATTACGGTGGGTGAGATAAGTGTGTGAGGCGGGTGCCTGTCAGGATTTGGGAGTCGGCAGGTGCATTTATGGCCAACTCATGGTGGGGAGGGCTCCGTTAGGGTGGACCTTAACAGCTGTCCACCGTATGCTTGTTTTCCGATTGTCAGATTCCAAGTTGAAATATAAACTATTTTGTTAACCGACTCTACCCTGGTTGATCTCTGTCTAGCCAGCAAGTCGATGCAGGAAACCGGAACCACAAGTCGGACAGTAACAGATATATGGCTCTTTCCGTTGGGTTGTTTAATTTTGATTTCAAAAGTCTCAAAAACTTTACACACGATTTGGACCAAAGTTCAAAGGTAAGCTTAGTTTAACGATAGGCTTTATCCCTGATTTGATATATTTAAAGAATGGTTATTAGCCTATTTCTAACTTCCTTCGATTTGCAATATTAAAAACTAAAATACAAAACGTAATGAATATAGGCGGTAAATAGTTTTTATTTTTATACAATTATTCAATTAAAAGCTTTTCTTCACTGGGCTTAAAAATGTCACATTTTCAAGTTTCACATATTGGTGTTCCACCGGCTTTCGGCAACATGTGAGTGGTAAAAGTACCGCTTATTTAAATAAACAGCTGATCGACTTGCTTTAATTTACAAAAGCTAGGCACAGATTTCCTTCCAAAAGTCAAATAATACGGCCCTGAAGTAGGGGCTCCATTTAATGGACTCTTTGCGGGATTTGGCCAACTTTAAATGTTATAAACTGTGGGATTATTAAAATGTAAAATTATAGTTAAAAGTTCCCGCTTGCTTTCCTTGAAATATCTGCTGTTTATGGTAATGAGCAAAATCACGTTTTTCACATCATCGATAGAAAACTCGATATATCATCGCAAAATACACAAACTGTTCGGGGCAAATTAACACATTTTTCAAAAATCTCACATTATTGTAAAATGTGTTATATGTGTTTTCTTATGGTAAAACGTACAGTCCGCATTTTGCAAATTTTGCAAAAATGTGATATTTTCAGGAAATGTGTTCAGTGGACTGAGGCTATAAAATGTATATATTGCGTGCTTAATAACACAAATAACTAAATATGTAAATCAAGTTTCATAACCATGTTCCAAAAATCGACTCTATGTGACGGGCGCTATCATGACACACATTCACGAATCACTGGATAAGTTCAGCAGTTGATTTTAATGACCTGTTCAATCGAACTTTTTATTAATAAATTATTTAGTCTGAGAATTCACGTGGCTGAGTCGAGAAATACAGAGCATATAAATGTTACGAAAACAAGCAAGACAACGAAGAGAATTCCTATATAACAAGTCATTAAATGAACGGATTTTAACAAAAAAAAAGAATATGAAGCTCATTACTGAAAACTTAAAAGATAAAACATCGTTTGGGTCCTTAAATATATTAGACGGCATTAACATGTATAATTCTCTTAAATTTTATAAAGGTACGGTATGCATCAACAACACACTATTTTGTTTCTGTATATATGTAGCTGTCTCCATGAATTTATACAGTGGCTCACAGCTTATTTTATGCAGTGCGTACTCACGACTTAAGAGGTATGTAGCCACAAAACTATTAGGAATTGAATAAACATTTTGGTACCATTGGAAAGTGTTTTGTTTTGTTTTGTTTTATAAGGAACATAATATATTACTAATATATAGTTACTATATATCTCAAAAATTAAAAAACAAAAAATACTGAAAATTTTAGCACACACCCCATTTTATGAGGTAGTTAAGATTTGGATAACTTTACTTATTATGGAAATACTAATATTTTTTAATACGTTGTATGATAGCCTTTATTGTTTTAAACCGATTTGCCACCAACTTTTGGATTATATCTGGTGAAATTTGCTGCCATTCAGTTTCAGTGGCACTTTAAGGTCGTTTTTATTGGAAATTTTGTCTTTTCGAATGTTTTGTTCCAATATCGACCATAAATTTACAATAACATTCAAGTCTGGTGACTGGGCTGGCGGAGTCAAGTGTGGGCAATTATAAATAAGTCCCGACTGAACTATACCTGCTTTGTGTTTTGGGTCATTAGCACTGCAACAAATTTTCCTTTACAATTTGAAGGTACATTAGTTTGTCCATCGTACTCTCAATAAAAGTTATGTTTCAATAATATTGAATTTAGACTGCAAATATTACTGAATTCCAGCACGCTGGGGCCTTTGAACCGTGTTCTCTGGCGAAGTTGAGTCTACAAAGCCTGTTTGTTGAGTTGAAGGGTTTTTTTCTTTCTACTCGGCCATTAAAATCATGATCACGCAGTACCCGGCGAACAGTTTCTACGCTACATTGCTTGCCTAGGTCATCTTGAACTTTGGATGCAAGTTTTAGAGCGGAGAGTCGCGGATTGGCCTTTATTTTCCGTAAAGTTGTTTATAACCAATTCTCTTTGCTCAATTGTTGTTCGAGGACAAATTTAGAATAAAATGCTTGTAAAAACATTTCTAGAAGCATAGCAAAGGCATACAAAAATAAGGTACCGTTAGTTAGTGTAAAGTACCGCTGCACGTAGAAGTGTCAAATAAGTGTAAGTGTAAAATAAGCTGTGACCTAAAATTTGCAGTGTTTTTGTTTTTTAATGTTTAAGGTACATAGTAACTATATGTTATTATTAAATTATGTTCCTTATAAAACTAGACATATTACACTTTCCAATGGTACCACAATGTTTATTCAATTACTAATAGTTTTGTTGCTACATACCTCTTAAATCGTGTGTATGCACTGCATAAAATAAGATGTGAGCCACTGTAAGTACTGTTTGGTCCTAACTATAAGCGATGCCGTTCTACCACACAAATCATATGTATTTCTTACTCTCTTGCTGCTCATCTATATGTTGTTTGGTTAGTAATAGTAGTTAGGGTCGCAGTGCAAACGCAAAAACAAACAAAAAATTGGGCTAGAATTCGGCCAATTCACTGGATACAAAGTACTATTTATGCCTGCGAGTAATTACGAATCTTGCAGGAAGTTATGTTTCCATAAACTATCGATCATATGCCATTGATTTGCATTTTACAACAGGACAATGGTGTAAAACCTGCGTGAGTCAAATAGAGGCAATGTGATTGGGTGGCCTTTTTAAGATCATAATCAATATAGTTCAAACCCTGCCAAGGAAACTTTTTTTTATTAAATTTATCTTTATTACTACTAAAGCAAACGAGCGCGTAGCGCGAGCTGCATTTGGTGTTGGAATAAGAGGGTTCAGGGTATCCCCTGGTCGGGAGCTTCCAACTAGAACCTCTTACTTGTTTTTTGAATAGTTTATATGATTGCCGTTTGCTAATTTGACAATATGGATTTCATGGGTCCAAAATTTATATTTTTCGGCAAATGCCTATCGGTCAGATATGTGACGTTTCATTAGCTTAGATACAAGTTCTCGGGAAGCATATGAAACGTTTTTGATTTCAACCAAAACTTGATATATTAAGATGTAAGTGAGGTCTTATCTCCATACAAGATATGCCCTTTTGAACCGCAAGACGTGAAATTTATCTTTTACCCTCTCATTTATAAAGCTCGATCTGCCGCAGCGCTTAATATTACCGGAATTATCGACATTCTTGAGAAAGTTGGAAATCGTTTTTCTATGTAGATATACTCTAGCGATTTCTGCAATTGGGGGCCCGGCTTCCTGCAAGCCGGCACATCAAACCACGCTCCTCTTCCGATAAATGCATTCCAAGTGGCATATTGAATTACTAATAATAACTTAAATGTAAACTTATTGGAAAGTATATTGTACGCACCTATTTCTTACTCTTAAAAATGTTTTTAATATTTAAGTATATCTCCACACAAAACTCACATTTTAAGTTGCAGCTTTTTAATAGAAATGAGAGAAAAAATCCCTGAGGTACAGTATGTATCAACCACACACTATTTTATTTGTGTATACAGCTTTCTCCATGAATTTATAAGTGCCGTTTGGTCCTACCAATTAATTGAGACGCTCAGTTGTTGGACTTCCTATATTGTAAAAGTAAAAGTAAAAGTACAGAGAAGTCGAAAAAGCTATGTTCATTTGTCTGTCTGTTTCCATAAAGACAAATCTCTTAGTTTTAATGTTACTATTTATTTGTAATTGTCTAAAATCTAAAATCGATTTCAGGCAATGTCATGCAGGTTCCTTAGCCTACATATTATTTTGCATTTATATTTTTGTAATTGCAACAGCTCGTTGAAATTATTGAACTTTTCTCGTTTGTAAATTAAGCGCGAATATAAAAATGTTTATAAATTTGTATAACCTTGTAGAGGGTCTTGATCAAACTCGTCATTAGCTTTACTATGCTCTTAAGCGAAATCCTCTCAAAATCGGTATATTATATAGCTGCCATATGAACAATCGCTCGAAAATAAATTTCTTGTATAAAACCTTTTTTGGTTTTCAATATATCTAGACCAAACTCGATATTTATTCACTATGCTCCTTATAGAAATTAACAAGTTTCACAGTACCGATAATACCATTGACGGGTGCAGCAATGAAACACTTGGAGATTTTAAACAGAATTTTTATTCCAGGCACGAAGTGCGCTATTTGTATATATTCAATCTTGAAAACGAAAAATCTAAACTTAAAGCTAACTTATCCAAAGCCCTTATGTCGCGGCAGCCCCAACGGCAGAATGCTGACCTAGCGCCTCGTGACTACTTCTAAACATCGGATTTCGTCGCTGTGGCCGTTGACCGGCAGCAATGCAGAGTCACCGAATATCAGCGGCCAATGCAGCTACTTTGTAGCGATGGCATCCGGTCTCTCGGCGGGATCGGCAGAAACGGATTTGTTTGTGTTAACTTAATATACAAAATCTTATCAAAAAACGGGGCACTATATCATATCGTTCTCATAGAAACAATCCGTCGAAAATTTAGTTTATGTATGAACATTTTTTGCAAACGCGACTTTTATAAATTTCACTATGCTGTCTACATGTTTTCATAAAACTTACTTATGAGCGTCACTATTCTCACATGCAAAACCGTAAGGGTATTCGGCGTGCCGAAGATATCTTTACTTTCCCGTTTGTATTTATTGCATATATACCAATTATAATAATGTGCCAAATGTCAACGTTAATACTCTGTAATTGTTTTTTTAGAGCTCGGGGTGAAGCGAGCAAAAATTATTAAAACCTTTGCAAAATAAAATTATTTGGTGAAAATACATTGTTCGAGAAAGTAACGATATCTTCGACACGCCGAAGATTTAATACTATTGAAGACATTTCTGTTTATACCCTGAACCCATTGAAAATGGGTAAAGACGGTATAATGTATTTGTGCAAATGTATGTAACAGGCAGAAGGAAGCATCTCCGACGCCATAAAGTATATATATTCTTGATCAGCATTAATAGCCGAGTCGATCTAGCCATGTCCGTCTGTCTGTTCGTCCGTCCGTCCGACTGTCCGTCTGTCCGTATGTATGAACGCAAGGATCTCAGAACCTATAAGAGCTAGAGACTTAAAATTGTAGCTGTAGGTGCTCCTAGTCTGTAGCTGTAGGTGCTCCTAGTCCCCGCGCAGATCGAGTTTTTTTATCCGATATGCGATAACTTGCCCCTGTTCCAAGTAATGGATACCAATCGATATTGAAATCCTGTTTTTTGCGCAATTTCGGTAAATAATATGAGCTAGAGTCACCAAACTTGACATGTAGCTTCTAGAATAGTATATATATATCAAGTATATTTCATTTTATACCTATCGCCTCTTGGAAGAAGAGCGTTCAGGGTATCCTCTAGTCGGGAGCTACCGAATAGAACCTCTTACTTGTTTATATATGTATATGTGAGAATAGTGTAGCTCAAAAATGCTGAGTTTGTTGAAAATATCTTTAAAAACTGAATATTTTGCCATATAAGATCCTACTATTCCACCTATCTTTTCTATGTCAGCTATATGATATAGTGGCCCGATGTTGATAAGAGTTTGCATATATATGATGATTAAAATGGAACTAATAAGTCCCGAGTTTGGTCAAGTTATCTTAATATAAAAAATGATTCTATATCATAACCAACTTTGCGACCGATCGTTTATATGGCAGTTATATGACATACATATGTACTGCCTGAAAGACGCATCTTTGCAATATTTCAAGACAATAGCTTTTAAACGAAGAGTCTGGTTCGCATTGAAACAAACAGACAGATATGGACATATCAACTCGGCTGTTGATGCTGATCTAGGTTATATATACTTTATGGGGACGGAATGCTTCCTTCTGCCTGTTACATACATACATTTTCACAAAACCATTGTATCCTTTTTTAACCTTTTCAATGGGTTCAGGGTATAATGAACAAAGTATTTGACTCAAACTCTTAATTTAAAAGGCGTAAGCGAATTTCGGACCCAAGCAAATACGAAGGTTCGGTCGGGTACTAATATGTACTATTAAGCTGTAAAATTAACTAAAAGCATCCAAAACTGTAACGAAAGTGAGCGAAATGAAAACAAACCGTTATAATGATGATGAAGTTTATTTGTATTTTGTTTTAATAAATCAAATGAATGTCTGTACTATTTTTGCTGTAGTGTCACAGTTCTTTTCGTGCTTTAAGCTAGTCACAGACTGCTCTTAACACTAATGCTTAACATACTCTGTTACTCTGGACCTGCTGCCAGAGTGACTGCGTGTACTTCTGTTAATACAAGCTATTGATAATGTGACGTCACTATCCTATTACAACTCGGTCATCCTGACAGTCGTATCTCCTGATCACGATTTTTTTATACCCTTGCAGAGGGTATTATAATTTTGTCGTGAAATGTGTAACGCATAGAAGGAGACATTTCCGACCCCATAAAGTATATATATCCATGATCAGTATCACCAGCCAAGTCGATATAGCCGTGTCCGTCTGTCTGTTTCTATGCGAACCAGTCCCTCAGTTTTAAAGCTATTTTTATGAAACTTTGCAGAAGTGCCTCTTTCTGTTGCACGCAGTACATATTCTGTCAAATAAGTACCCGGAAATTTGAAATAAAACACAAACAACTTATCAATCATCTAAATTTAGTTTTGATGTCTTCAATGCTCTCAAAACGGGCTCCACGAAGTGGTAATTTGAGTTTTGGAAACAGGAAAAAGTCACACGGGGCCATATCTGGAGAGTACGGTGGTTGTTCGATGATATTTGTTGAATTTTTGTTCAAAAACTCGTTCACAATGATCGCTTTGTGCGCTGGTGCATTATAATGGTGCAAAATCCAACTGTTGTTGCGCCACAAATCTGGTCTTTTGCGACGAACATTCTCTCTCAGACGCCTCATAACGCCAAGATAATATTCTTTATTGACGGTTTGGCCCTCCGGTAAGAATTCCGAATGAACAACACCACGAATATCGAAGAAAACGGTCAGCATCACCTTGATTTTCGATTTGCTTTGGCGCGGTTTTTTCGGTTTCGGCGCATTTTTGGCGCGCCATTCCGATGATTGTTGACTTGTTTGCATGTCGTACTCGAAAACCCATGTCTCGTCACCAGTTATGAAGCGTTCGATGAACGTTGGATCGGAATTTACGCGTTCAAGCATGTCTTCAGCCACCTTACTGCGATTCACTTTTTGAAGAAAATTCAGATCTTTTGGCACCAATCGCGCTGCGACTTTCCGCATACCCAAAACATCAACTAAAATATGACGAGCGGTCTCATGAGACATGTTCATTTCTTGGGCTATCTCTCGCAAACTATAATGACGATTTTCGAGCACCATTTCCTTTATTTTGTCGACGTTTTCTGTAGTTGAAGAGGTCGAAGGCCGTCCTGAACGTGGCAAATCGTTCACTTCTCGCCCCTTTTTGAACGATTTATACCAATCGTAAACTTGAGTTTTCGACATGGTTGAATCACCAAATGTTTTGTTCAACATTTCCAACGTTTTGGCACAAGAAATTTCGTTTGAAACACAAAATTTCACACAAACTCTTTGTTCGATATTTTTATCCATAGTAAAAATCGCAACGCACACAAAAGGTTGACTTGTTCCTAATGACGCCGTAACCAAACTAAATGACACATAGCAATAAAAATTCACAGAATAGTGGCTGACAATTGTGCAAACCTAGGAAAAAATTTTTTTTTAAATATTCTCAGAAGGAAAATTTAAAACGAGAATTTCCGGGTACATATTTGACAGAATGTATGTCAAAACCAGCTGGATCGGACCACTGTATCATATTGCTGCCATAGGAACGATCGGTCGAAAATTATGTTGTATGGAAAACATTTTTGCTTATCAAGATATCTTTACCAACCTCGGCATTTATTAGTTTTACTATGTTCCCTCCATTTATGCAAAATCTTATTTACATCAGACTACTATATCATATCATAGGAACGATCTGTCGAAAATTAAATTGATGTATGGACAACTTTTTTGTTTTTCAAGATATTTTAACAATACTCGGCATTAACTATTTTCCCTGTGCTTCTTAGATTCGGACAAATCACTAAGAGCATTATGAAAAGGTTGAGTCTGCAAGGGTATTAAATCTTCGGCGTGCCGAAGATAGCCCTTAGTTCTCGTTTTTTTTTTTTAATTAACACAGTGACTTACAAAAGTTTATATATGTCTATTTCTCAATTTAACAATGTTTTACTCATTTTATAATTATTTCTGACACAGTTAGTGTTTCCCATACAAGGTCTTATATTCTGTACACTCCAAATACCCTGATATAGATTACGGGATGCTTAAAATCCTTCTACATCTTTTAATAAAAACCTATCGTTTCTAAGCACTTTCGCTATTACATATGGTCCTTTGTGTTTTGGGATTAACATTCTAGGTGCCCCTACCGGGCTATCAAAATTCTTAACCATCAGATAAACCCCGTTTTTGAATTTCATTGACTGTTTTATTCATATCATAGTTGGTTTTGTTGTAAGCTTGGGCTTTTTTCTGGTTGTCCGCTGCCTCATTTCTAATTTCTGTTAAACTTTTCTCGACTGGTGCTTTTATTAATTTTTCTTACTTTTCTTTGATTTCATCTATAACTTGACCTTTTGTGTTCAACAAAATTTTACTTGGTACTTGCTAAATGCTCCTATGCTGTGTATTGTTTAGTGCATATTCTACTTTTTATATTACTACGTCCCAGTGTATTCCTTTTTCTATTTATTCTCTCAACCTGGCTGTTTGCTTGGGGTGAGCCCGTTTTAATTTTTATGTGTTTAATATTGCATTCCGTTACAAACACATCGAATTCATTAGAAGTGAAACAACTACCTCGAAATTATTCACTTTGGACTACTATACGATAGAAAATAGTCTTTTAATGAGGCAATTACTTCTTTTGCATTAATTGTCTTTGTCGCAGAAAGACGTTTGTGAATCCATCGACCACAACAAAAAGATATTTTTCCAATTTAGGTTTGTGGCCTTTTGGAATACTGTGCAGTAACAACCATTCTCCCTTTCCAGTGTTCAGTGCATAAGCTATACATTTTTAACAATTTTTAATATGCATCGCGCATTTGTCTTTTGCTTTTGGTTTTTTAACCAATATCTTTTGCCAATTATATCCACCACATTATCCCTACCTATGTGTCCTATTTCATTATAATATTTATATGTCTTTGATTATAGGTCTTTGATTACCTCTGGAACATAAAATAATATTCTGTTATCATTTGTTTTCCTATAAACTATACCTGTGCGGAGTCCCAAACTGCCCGTAGATATGATGCGGCCTGCGGCGTGGTTACCAACCGATGCAGCTTTGAGGGTTTTGCACGATTGTTGGGGATGTTGAGGTTAGAAAAAGTCCCAGACGTTGCTCACATAAGTTCACGAGCGGCGTTGTTCATTTTAAAAGACTTCAACTTTTATTGAACTTAACCTAAATATGATAATTATTAATCTCACCTACACAGAGCATACGTCCGGTTACTTGGACTAACGCTCACAGACTTCACCACGTGGCGCAAATTCCGCTGTTACTAAGCTAGCGAATTCAAAAGCTCAATAGAATTAAAAAAAAACAAGAAAGTAAGATAACTTAAAGCAACAGGATTTAAAGTTCGAGAGCTTGAGAGGGTCACTAAATTCAACACACTCAACCGTGTTAGCGGCTGATCCATTGAGTGATAAGACATTACTCAATGCGGCTGATCTAAGCACATGCGCTCTCTTATAATATACGCTCTTAGTCCGGCGCGACTGCTCTTGTGAGTAAGGTGTAGCCCAAACAATAACGTTCCTCATTTCAAACATCATATGTTCAGAACTTTCTAATAGTTTCTTAAGTTTCTGTATTTTTAAACCATTCGCTTGACATATTACTACATCGTTTTCAAAATATTTGTTTCAACTATCAATAAGTTGGTACATCTGCTGAGCGCATCTACGTGTTGCATTCGATTATCTTCTCATAATCATAATTTTTGTGTTATAATGCCCATCAAGCTATAAGCGGGTTGAGTTCAACTTTGTTTAACATTAACGTCAATTGCAATCAGTGACAATTTTTAACCGTTTTCCCAGTAGATATATGCGAAACCTGCGTGATGAATTAAACAAGTGTTTCCAGTTCCAAACTATGATACTTTGATTCTGTTTCCGTTGTGCGTTTCGAGAAGTAAGTATCATCTTTCCTTTGCATTAATACCGCACCAAATCGTTAGGCACTGGCATATCAATGTAGTTTTATTTCATCCTTATTATTAGAAAGTGCTAATATTGGAGATCCCATTAATTTATTTTTATGCGTCAAGAAACAATTTAATTCATTGTCTTTGAACTAAAACTGCTTATCATTTCTTAATAGGTCGTATAACGACTTGGCTATTGTTGAAAAATCTTTTATTAATTCACGAAAATATCAGCAAAAGCCCAGAAAACTCTGAACAGCATGTGTTATGTGCAACTGGAAAATATTTATTAGCTTCTTCTGCATCCGCTCTTATACCTTCTTTTGCTGTTAAAGAACCTAAATATATTATACTTGACTGCATAAATTCACACTTATCCATCCGTAATTCTAACTTGTTTTGCACCGATCTACTAAATGCTTTTTTTAATGTTTCCAAATGTTCGTCCATGTTTTTGCTTGCTACCATTATATCAACCATGTATACAATTACCCGATTCTCTCTAATTAAATCTGCAAATATTTTATTTACAAACCGTTGAAATACTGCTCTCGTATGGCCCTAGAGGTGTGACGAATGATGTGTACTTGATTGATTCCTTGTCTACAAAAACATGGAAATATCCATTCTTTAGGTCCAGTTATGAAAAACGCTTTTATTTACTAATTTGTCTAACATCTATCAGTGGCAGAGGATAATTACCTTATACAGTTGCCTATAATCTATGCACAGTCTCATATCCCCCGACTACTTCTTGACTAGCACTATTGGCGATGCATCTTCGGAGTCACTACGTCGTATAGTTCCCTTTTTCAAATATTCATCCAAAAGTCCTTGTAGTTTGTCTTTTTCTATATATGAAAGTCGCCTAAGTGCACAGCTAAACGGTTTTAATGGTTTAATGGTTCAAGTTAAGTTTAATTTCACATTTTGTATCAGGTACATCTGGTCTCTTTGCGATTAAATAACTACATTCAATTAATTTTCTAAATTTGCATTTTGTCTCGTAGTTTACTGTCTCGCCACAATTATATTCAGCTATCATATTTTCAGTAAAATTTATATTGAACATGACTTTATCAAAACTTTCTTTGTATAGGCAATCTTTATTCTGACTTTCGTTCCTTTCTTTTAATATTGCGTCACCATATTCATATTCAACAATTTCGTTGCTAATATTTTCATTTCGTTTTTGGTTACTATCTGACAAACTATTTTATTTCTGTTTCATTTTCTTGTTTACTAACTGATTGTCCACAAACTCTTTGACTAACTGTTTCATTTATAATTGCTTGTTGATTCCCATTATCTATTTTCATTTCCACTTTAAGTGGCCATAATTTTGGATTCCAACACATTCAATTATATTTGTATCCATTTCTTTTACCGTAACTATTTTCAAAGTATTTAAATTGAATCTTAAAGTACATTCATCCATAACATCTCTGCCAAGAACAACACAATGAAACATAGACTCATTTGCAACCACATTAAAATAAAAATGGCACTATATTGATCCTCTTTAAAACATAACACAAAAATTTTTCAAATATTTCAAGTAGACTTATTAATTCCAAAATAATATTTCCAAACTTTTTCCAGTGCCACTTCGCTTGGTAAACAATTAATTTTAATATATGATATTGGACTACCCGAGTCTATAAAGCATGCTGCAATTAATGGTATTGTAGTTGTGTGTATATAAATGTTAACGTAATTAGC